GTGAAAAGCCCATCTCAATACCAACAGAAAACTCTCTGATTGCCATTCCCGAGCCATGGACAGCAATATGTGAAACTACTGTTCTATAGATAACCCCGAATGGGATTCTTCCTGGAGGGCCCCTGAAAGAAAGCAAGATGTGGACGCCTGGCAGAAGAGCCATGCTACCCACCTCGCACGAATAGGGTTGCGTAGGGTTGGGGTTTAGGGTTCTGGAGGTGACTGACGCAGGTGTTGTTCCCTAAGTGGCTAACACTATGGTGGCCCCTGACCAAATTTAAGGAGGGTCAGGGGCTTGAACAACCTAAGTCAGTATTTCTGAAATCCAACCCGTTACGTAGAGTAGATTTGCAGTTAGAAATAAGCCCTTGTGCAGCAAAACCGTCAGCTTGAATGTTGTAAAGATTTTGAAGGCAACATGGCAAATGCCCTTGCAGTTCGCATAACGAAGCCGCGGACTACAGAGTTTTCGCTGACCAGCCCGTCGTGCCAAACCCCACCACCCAAAACAATCCTTCTCTCATCATTATTGAAAGCTCTGATATTCTCAAGGCACAACTACTGACATTCGTATAAGGCAGACAGGAAAGCCATGCTCTCAAGCATGATATACGTAATGCCACTGCCACAGAATGAAGGGAGGCTACCCTGCAAGGTGGTGATGCCAGGATGGTTGTCTGACGGCCCCACCGGAGAAGTGCATGGCGCCGTCCTGACCAGCCAGGAATCCATGTATCATTCCTATACGCGCCCCATTAGACTTGGCGCTTTTGCTCTGCAATCCGGGCATGTTCCCAAGGCGTGACGCTTCATATAGATCCTTAAGGAAGAGGAAGGTCCTACGTGTAAAAAAACCACGAACCTCAAACCTGCTATCAAGAATGGACCGTGGACACAAACCCACCCTGAGGCCCAACAATTAATGACGAGTCCGGGCGCCTGCTGGGGGCGGTGAGGCTGTAGCCTGGCTCACAACAACTGCTGAGAAGGTTAATGATGCGGCTCAGTATGCAAAACATAACCATTCTCCAACCTTCGTGAGGAGTGCAGTATCCGACCAAAGCTGTTCTAGCTCTTTGGGCGTTCTCAAAACACTGGCTATGGCATCGTTGTGATGTGCATCTTCCATAGATCTTCGGTATACGAGTGCCCAGAACAACCTTTAGAGAACACTCATCTTAAAGCAACACATTTACGCCCCTTCCCAGGAGAAAGCCTCCCCCCACCCGCTTATCAAGACATGCTTCTCCAATATTATATACTTGTACGTATTTTACTGGGGGTGTCCATTTGGGGGAGGGGATTCGTCAAGGCAAGAGGATCTCGTAGTTTCCAGAAGTGTTGATTTAGTTGTATGATGTCTCTCTCTCTCTCTCTCCCTCTCCAAGCTTTGTGCATGCTTTATCCTACGCCTGCTGGGCCTGGCTATTGAAGCCCTAGCTGGCTCATGCCTGACTATTCCATACGTATTTGGACATGCATCAGAACCAGCTTGGGTAAAAATACAAGAATAAGACGATGTTAGCAAGGAGCATGACAAAGGCAGCCGGGAATAGTGACAGTAGCCAGTCATGCAAAAGTATGAAATCTAGGTAGGCCTCTTACGAAACTCTGGCGTAACATATGATGTTAGATGCAGTGCGCAGCCTTGGCTATAAAGGGTTTAGAGAATTTAGGCCAGTTTAGTTTTTAGGGGTTTAGGGTCCACGTCTCCTACAGTCACTGGATTCCACCGTAGAAGTGTGGGAGAGAACCAAACAACGGCCTAAAATGAGCTTGGATAAGGTCTCCCTGGGACTGTTGCGCCTTCCAGACTTGCCCTCTGATATCAGTTATTACCCTGGACTCTTTATCGGTGAAATGTGACTCTTGTCCCGTCATGGGTCACTCTTCCCGTTATGATACTCCTACCGGACTTCAAAGTGACCTCCGTCAAGCCCCTGAGCCCAGAATCCTGCACCCCAATTCCCAAACCTGCAGGTCCCTGCTCTTTGGGCAAGTGGTGGTTGCACCAAGATCCACAACTGTGTCGGGACGGCCTCCACCCAACGGTCGCAACCTGACAATCGGGAGCAGGCAATCTAAACTGGGGAAACAAAATTCTGATGCTGTTTGGAGACGATGCCAAATCAAGTGGCTCAGGATTCACTTATCGCTAATCGAGTCACTGTGCTCATGCTACAGCCAGCTTTTGTTGTGATGAGCACTGTTCCTGGTTTAGAGTCACCTGGGACATCCTAGACCCCTAAAGGATCCCAAAAAATGAGCCCCCACGATCCCATTCCTAGGGTTTAGGGTTTCTGCATTGAGGGATCCCGGGGTTGGGGGATTTCCCGAAACAAGGGGTCCTTGAGGGGCCCGAGGGATATGTGGGACCAAAGCTGGGTTTTCATTAAGGACTTTATGGGAGCATTTTGGGAACTCTCATTTCAATCTTCTGTTTTCTGTGAGGGTTTAGGGTTTAGGGTTAAGAAGAAAAATGCACCCCCCAAATTGAGCATATGGCCATACTGCAAATGCCACCCATCTGAAGTTTTTTTGACGAGGTGCATAGGCGGTGGCTTGCTGTCTGCCACATCCAGAAGGGAGTTATGACCTCAAAGTGGAGTCCAGCGTTTAAGGTCTATGGTTCTACCTTAGGGGCCATAGGGATTTGCAGGATATACGAGGTTTAGGGCTTCTAGGGCTTAAGGTGAAAACTCACAGGTACATTAAGCCACATCAGCTGCAGCCAGCTGTTGCATACCACAATGGAACGATGTAATTTCAGGGGGGTGAAAGGGTTCAATATTAGGGTAGGTGAATACATGAGTGTACGTATCGGATAGAATATGCAGTGATAGATGTGTGTGGGATGCAAGGCGCCACGATAAGTGTTCCAAGGCCATGAAACAGTATGGAAACGCTAATACCCTAGCAGTAAGGAGTGTGCAGTGGCAATTTGAGCTACTGTTATAATATATTGAGAATATTTGATCTTAGGGAGGCGGGGTGGGGCTTTTGATGGTAAGGGGTGGGATTGCTTGTCCTTGCCCCTAAATCCTAGCTCCTACACCCCTCAACCGTAAGCCTTCTTAGGGGGAGGAGTAGTTTAGGCGCTTCTAGTGCTATCACCTGATGCTGCCGAGTGGCTCAAGCACAGGCTCAGTCCGGAGCCTGTCATGTTTTTAGAGGTACCTTTCAAAGGTTTAGGGTTTAGACACGCGCATCGCTCAGACCAGGCTTAGGGTTTAGGGTTTAGGGACACTCAAAATTACCCAGATAGTTACTGGGCATGGGTTCCCTATGAAGGACAAAAGTAGGGACTATACTAAACTACAAGAGAAACCCAATGTCCGCTGTTCAGGATCCCCCAAAAAAAAGCGCGAATATTGAGAGCAGCTCATATAGGGGTCATGTAGCTTGCTGGGGGTTAGTAGGGAATAAGGGAATGGATTATATAGGGTCTACATAGGGATTATCTTCCCTTGCGCCCTACTAACCCCCAGTAAAGTAGGGGGATTATGGAAAAGAAAATGGAAACTAACATTTAAGGTTTAGGGTCTGAGGTATGTAGGGGTTACGCAAGGAAAAATAGGGTCAGGGGATTAAGGTTTAGGGTGTCCCAAACTTAGGCGTACCTTCCGCCACCAGCTGACATGGCACCTGAAAAGGGGCCTGGGGTTTAGGGACCCAAGGCTTGTTTGGGGCTTCGTGTTAGTTTGGGAGACGGGTTGGTGCCCAGTTTCTGCTTTCTGTGGTTTTAATGGTGACCAAGAAGGCCTCACAAGTTTCCCCGCCTCCAATCTATATATTAGGGGTCCTAGTAAGGGCTATATATAGCCACATTATAATTATTATCCAACTGTTACTGAGTGGGGGCAGTATCCAAATCTAATTTGTTGAGACTGTCCAAGCCGCAGCCGCCGACTAGCTTAGGGTTTAGGGTAGATCTGACTCTGATTCCTGATTAGCCAGAGACTTTGCGATTTGCTCCGGGCAAGGGCATGCCTTCACAGAGGTGCGAGTCAAAACATGCTAGTAGGACTCCCCCAAAATACTTATACCATTGCAAAGCTTCCAAGTGATGCTCATGTAGATCGACTTGTCAATTAATCCCCTCCTCCTACAAACCTGCCCCAAAGTGTACTACCAGTGTATGTTAGGGGCAATATCTAGTAGTTGTTGGTGGGGTTTCATCGAGGGGAAAGTGGTGACAGTGTCTACGGCTCCTACAACCTCATACCTTAGGAGGACACCCCACCCTGTAATAGTGGTATAATAGGAATATAAGAGGACCCTAAGCTAATCCTTATTATCCTTCATAGTCACTATTACACGGTGGGGGGTCCACCTAACTCATACCGAACACGGCAGAAGCGCCTGAAAAGCGCAAGCTGGCGAGGATCCCGCGATCTGCCGCAGAGTATGTCAGACAGGAATTCAGGGGCCTAAGGTACTACCATTCATGGAGAATCACATGAACCAAAAAATGGAAAATGAAATGCATTTAGGGTTTACATAAGGTTTGGGGATACTAGCCTGCCTCGTATGAACGATGACGGGGAAATAGGAATTATGTGGTGGTTTATAGGGTGTTTCATGCAGAATGATTTCCAAGAATATGTTGATGACTTTTTGACTCTGCACTGTAATCATACGAAGAAACTAGGACCAGAAATTTAGGCTTCTAGAGATGGGGTCAGGAAACATTTTTCAGGATTTGGGGCTTCAGATGCGGACAAAATGGCTGTGAGAGCCACGGTCATAAGCATGGATACGCGAAGGTTGCCTGATGCTTTAAGTGCTGTCTGCCTCAAGCCAAGTCACAGTAGTAGCAAATGAGTTTCCGTGGCCGTTGGGGCTGGTGGTGGCGTGGAATTTTGAAGAAACTTGCCTGCTGCCTTTCATCTTGGGCTACTTTCACCACCTTTACTGCCCTCCTAAGTTTCCCGTATTAGGTCTGTTGAGGGATAATGAAGCGGACAATAAGGGGTGTAGTATGGGAACCCATGACTTCACTAGCCCTGCATCGCGCCTTCTCGAGTTGGACCATCGTCCTGGAGACTTGCTAGGTTTTTAGGCGGTTCAGGGCTTAGAGTTTAGGGCGGGAATACCCAACTCCCCCTTAAGCCTAACAGCCAGCCTTCATTGAAGGTGTTCTGAGGGCTTGGGGGATTGATCTGTAAAGGGGATGGTCCAGGCTCCTAAACCTGCAGGGGTCCAGGGTTTAGTTTAGGGTCCAGAGCTACCAAATAAAAAAAGCCTACAAACAATGGGCCGTTCAGGATCCAAAGGCCTGCTGGACTACCCCCTTTGCACCATTGATTTGGGCTACGAATTTTAAGGTTTCAAGTAAGGATTTTCATGCATCAGGTTCAGGATTTGGCTGCTGGCTTCTGAATGGAAAGCTCAGAAGGCTACTCCTGAAATAGATTTTAGAAGGCCTGCCTCCAAAAATCCAAGGAGATTGAATACCTTCCTACAATTTTAGGACCCCGAATCTAAACAGATTATAAGGGACCTCTTCAAGAAAAGAGGTCCAACATTAGTGCGGAATGCGGGCATCCCCTTCTCTACGGGCAGGGTACCCCGCATGACCATATGGCTTGCAAGGTTCTATGGGGCTTGTAGATGCTTGAGAAACTCCCCGGAGGCTCTGCGAGCGAAAGATATTGAAAGCTCCGAAAACTGCAGTTGCGAGTAGGGAGTTCGCACCCCTTGCTCAGGATCTCCCCTTCATGGCAGGCAAGAATGTTCTAGCCCCTCCCTCATTTTGCGCCACAGGACATCAACTACTCCAACTAGGGTCTGCCTGAATCTTCGGTGGGCATTTAACTTTTTGATGTTGCCACACCCGTGACACAACATCCATGGGGCAGCACCATTGAAGCTGCCTCTGTGCACTTGTCGAAGGACTTCCGCGATGCCCTGCAGGGTTGCCAGCAAAGAAAATGCAACATTAATGAATATCAGGGCTCTAAGGGGATTCTCTCCCCAAATATAAAAATCAACCCACCTCCAAAAAACAAATTTCCAACTTCAAACTCATTAGATACTGTGAGGGATTAGGGGGGATACTTTTTGTCAGGAGGGCACATTCTGCACCGTGCCTGGTGCCTGCGTCCGGAGAAGCCAGCGCACGGGTGTCCTTCCAAAGCACAGGTTTAGGGTTTAGGGGCTTAGGGCTTAAGCAAAATCTCCACTAACAATTGCATAATCGAGATTTTGTTGGTATATGTAGCTATGAATGTTACCCCTACAGTCGACTGCTACTGGGCGGCGGCAGTCCCAAAGAATGCTTTGGTTGACATTCTTCCCTCAGGCGTGGGGACCCTCTCCGTCTTCATAATTTAGGAGCCCCACCCCCAATTAAGTGAGTAGTGTTTTTTTGCTGGTTGAACCTAGTAAGATTATATTCCTTATATAGAATACTATACCCCAAAAGGAGGACAGAATCTTACTCTATATTGGGTACCATAGTATCCCCAAATAAAATACTGCACATCAGTGACTCCATGCTCTGCCTCCTTGGTGGCACCCGGAGGTCGCCGAGCCTCGCCAAAGGCAGCACACGCATCATGCGTGTCAATCACCTCCTGTCCCCTTTCTATGGAATCTTCCCATTGTTATAGGGATATTAGGAGGAGGGAGATAGAAGAAGATTCATGAAACTCAGCAAGCCGGCTTTGCGGCAGCTTTTTGGCCCGCAGCTTTCATCAGTCTCAAAAGACTCTGTGCCTCACGCATTTCTGCGGAGGGTAAGCTGGCAGCTGCTAGCAAATTGGCAGGACTTATGTCCCAAACCCTGCCTGCCCAAACACTTTGTTGAAGGACGACCCACAGCGCTTCGTCAAGAGTCACCTGTTTCGTCTTTTTAGCACCCCTTTGGCTGACTGCGTTGATCGTCACATTCGCGGCTTGAAAAGGCAGACCCCGCCTCAGATCCAAACTTGAGCTGACCCTCCTGCCTGTCCCAAGAAGACTTACCACCGGAACCAGACTGTGATAAGCCTGCTCGCAGGCCGCAATAACGTTTGCGCGCAGAAAGCCAAGGTGGGATGTATGGCAAGAAGCTTGCTGCAGCAAAGCTAGCATCGGTCGCCACTGACTGCCCTGCTGAAGCATATTGCTGACTATACCATACGTGAAAGGGTCATGTGGGGCCAGACGGTCCACTGCTAAAACCAGCTGCGTGACTAATTCCCATTGTTGCCCGGCAGCGCAAGCAGCCAGCAAAGAGTTGCTTGCTACAACATTGGTCTCGATGCCTGAGAGTGCAAGCTCATGGAAGTAAAGCTTAACAGCTTTCTGCCAATGACTTGCAACTTCCAAGGCAGAAAGCACTGTAGTATATGTAATAATGTCACTGCGACAGCTGCTCTGTTGTAACTCCGCAAATACAGCCAGGGCAAGAGGCCATCTATGAGCCTGAGCACAGGATTTCAGCATCGTGTTAAAGGTCAGGATGTTGGGCTCCAAATTGTGCCTGGTCATTTCGGCGCCCATTGAAAGGACCAACTTCCACTGCTGACCAACTGCACAGGCACCTGCAATCGCATTCCATGTCACGATGTCAAAAGATTCGCCAGCCAAAATCTTCCTGCGACTGGCGCACGATCTGAAGAGCCGTAAGGCCGCATCCCAGCGCCCTGCATTACCACATGCTGCAATGGCGGTATTCAGAGACACCAAATCAGCAATGGCGATGCTTCTATCAAAAAACAAGTTTACTGCCTCTGCCCAATCAGCACCTTGCGAGCATGCGGCGATGAGAGAGTTCAGCGTGATGTTTGTTGGCTGTAGGTGTCGCTGCTGAGCGCGGTGGAGAATCGCAAGGGCTCGAGACCAATGAGTTCCCATTGCTGTGATGAGGTTATTGTACAGCACGATGGTCGCATCTTTTGGAGCATTTTCCTCGACCTCCATCAGCAGCGATAGTGCTCGTCTCCAATGGCGCGCTTTGGCCATTGAAGACAAGACTTCGCTCCAAATCACCGAGTTCATCTCGACTCTGGAAACACTCATCTCCTCCAGGATGAGCAAAGATGCTTTCCACTGCGTCCCCTTGCTGCATGCGAGCAGCTCAGCTCCATAACTCCTCACATCCTGGGACCCCCAGCAAACCAAAAGGGAAATTTGGTATCCCGACTTTGTAGTGGGTGGTTATAGGAGGAACCCAAGGATCCTGAAAATTTAAAAAAAGGGCTTAACTGGTAGCTTCCGAAAATAGGGGGACCCCAATTTAGACCCTGATATACTATAGTCGTTATTATAGGGACCCTCAAAATGGTACCCTCTATAACCCCTTTTAAAGGTACCCCAAAGGCAACCCAGCATCTAAAACATGTGCCAGTTTGGCCAGACGTATGCGCTGGGCCAGCGCCAGTGCATCTCTCCACTGTCCGCCCCAGCACAAGCGAGAAATCCAGTAGGTGTAGCCTGGCAGTGTGGAGTAATATAGGGAGAATGAAAAAGGAAATGGAAACTACTGTATCATAACAGGGTATATATTGGGGTTATACTAGGGGATAGGGGGGAATATGGTAATCTTCCAGAATAAGGGGACCCCAGTATAGACCCCAATATACTATGTTCCTTACCATGTAGACACGCAAAAGGGTCACCCTAATTTCAGGAAAATTCCACCTTTGTTGCTCCTAGGAGCCTTTCAGAAATCTTGTTGAGAGCTGTCACTCAGGATGCTACTAGCAAATGCAACGCATCTCGGGAACAATGCATGTCTACACTCCCTGGGTACCCTATCCCCTTTTTGAGTCACGGACTGAGCCGAGCAACCCTAAATACCCTGAAAGTTTCGGAATGACAATTTACTGAGGCTCTTAGACACCGTGTCTCAATAGCTGCCAATTTTCCGTGATCCATCCCCAAGCAAACCCTGAACATGTATTACATGTCGTGTACCGGTCAGATGCCTGCACTACCCACAGGTAAGATGTCTAGGATCATGCCAAGTTTGCATGGTTTAGTCTAGTTTTGTGTGCTTACTCTCGCGAAGGAAATAGTCCAGCGTCTGTGACATTTGATACCCCAGGCCAACCTCCAAATCCCCTCAGTATCCTGTACTCTAACCCGCTCACCCCTACATATACTCGTTTATCATCTTGACACCCTTATATGCTCCCTACATATCCATATAGAACTCTGTTGAATGGACCCCTTGTTGTCACACAGCAGCTCTTGGGACTCAAGGAGGACAACTTGAGGGCGGCAAGGTCTCGACTTGCTCTCAAGCATCGGCTGCATCGCATGTCGGGCCATGTCGACGAAGGCGTCCATATTGCAAATTGCCTTCCCCCAAGATGAAAGAAAGCCCCCTCCCCCACTACCTTTGCCTTACCCTAAACCCTAAACCCAGGGTATTGACTGGGGAAAACAGCATGCCAAGCGGCAACTTATTGCCCTGGAGATGGTTAAAAGGTGGTCTGATGGGGAGGGGAATCTAGAGGAGGCTGCCACCTTGATCCAAACAGACTGCCGGAGGGAAGTCAACTGTTCCTGTCAGGTGGTTCTGTTTCTCCGCAACTCAAAAGGGAAACATTCATGCCCACAAAGCAAATGCCTGCAGCTGCCTGATTTTTGAGGCTGGCAGCCCCGCTCGAACGCTTCAGTTTCTGCGCTCATGTCATGCTGTCCGTCATGCAAGCTTTCCACAGAAAGCAGCTAGGGTAATCAAGCACCCAATCCACTGTAGCAGCTCTGTCGCAAATAGCGCGACATTCACAATCGCCAACGTTAACGTAAGCACACTTTGTTGCTAATTTGTTGGCTCAACAGGGTGAGATGGCAGCATCTTGTAATTTTCCTGATCTTCTGGCTTCAGAGATGCCACAGAGCAGCCAAGGAGCACCAGCATCATTCCTCAGCGGCTGTCAATACATGGGGGGTTGTTCTAAAGGTCCTTGTAAAGAAGGGACCATTGGGAATGCACTTCCTTACAAAGGGGATCCTAAGCAAACAGGGAACCTACATTATGGCCACTTTTGGGACAGGTATTCTGCACAACTACTACACGTGCGGAACTAGAAGTCTTGACAATCTACTCGAAAAGAGTGGAATTAGAATTCATGAGCCCTAGAATCCCCTTTGTAAACTGACTTGCAAACTTTGAGAAATCCCAACGAAGATCCAACTAAGAGGCGCGAGGGTGCTGTGGAGGGCACGTTTCGTTACAACTTCAACGCTTCGCAGTTTCGCATAATAGAGCCCGCACTCCTGATTTGGGGTACCTTGTTTTAAGCTCAGGACTGAGGTGCCGGCCTGAAGGAACTCTGCAGTGTAAGAAGCTTGCAATTATTCAGGGTACCCTAAACCCTAAACCCTAGCTCCGACCTCTAAAAGGATACTGTAAGGTCTATGGCAGCCAACCCACAGGCCTATCATAGGCCTGTTGCCAAGGCTCAGGGTTCCTGTATGCCTTTTTGGGGATTGAGAAGCCGAACCCATAATTTGAGAGGAATCCACCCCTAAATCCTAAGGCCAACCCCTACACCCTTTTCTGAGTCACGGACTGAGGCCTGCACCCTAACCCCATACCCTAAATCCTAATCACCGGAACCTAGTGAATCAGCGTCAGGGATGACCTATCATGCTGTCCAGTCTCCAGCAATCTTTGACACCTTTGGCACCTCTCCAAGCAGCAGGAAATTCCTTGCAGGGTTTAGGGTTTTAGGTATCCACACAAGTGCATGATTCAAGTTGGCGCATGTTCGAGGCTGCTTGTGTCCCATCACGTATCTTAACAACGCAGCTTAACAGGCCATGTTGCTTTGGGGCGGGAATGCTCGCATGGCAGTTTCCCTAAATAGGACCCCCAACTTAAACCCCCACAATATTATCAACCGTGTACGGAATCCGTACACTGTCATGATCATCGTCGCTGCCGAGGGGCAGGATGCACATAGGGACTGAGTTGCTGTCGATGATGGCCGTTGCCAATGCAGCCTTCGTATCTGGCACCTCGTGGAAATCTCTTAAACCAGACCATGCATGGCTTTGCTGGGGGTAGCCAGGTCTGGTGCAGCATCTCAGATGTGGCCGGTTGCGGTGGTTTGTTTGTTTGGCAACGCTTGGTGCGGTTTAGGGTTTAAGTGGAGCACTATGTTGAGATGCCGTCAGAATGACTGTGCCACTTTTTTGCAACCCCCAACATAGCCTCATAGGATGCAACCACGGTGAAGAGGCCCAGCATAGATGCCACTGCATTGAGCGTAGGCCAAACCAGATTTGCAGGTCTCAGTATCGAGCTGTAGCTCCCATCAGATAGGAGGAGCCGAAGCAGAAGGTATCCTGTGGTCATCAAGGGGGGCTTGGGTTTAGGGTTTAGGGGGTTTAGGGTTTAGGGGGTTGCTCAGTACTTCTGACTAACATGCTCCCACGCATGAAGCACAAAGTTACCACGGTGTGAAAGAAATCTCCAGGAAAAAACTGCACACCCCACAGATAGGGATTTTACAACAGTCTCACAAAGACTCGCACCCAATGAATAGGGCCCCCAAGTGTTGCTTCGATGCTGGCCCATTAACATCCGTTCACACAATATTATTCTTCTAAAAGACGTTACCACACCCAAACAGATGAAGTAATCTTATTGTAAATCGGGGACTATAGGATCCCCACATGAGGCACTACTTACCTGGCCTAGCGATCCAGATGAGAAAACGATTGCGGCCGATTTTGGCCGTGAGGGCAAATCCTCTTCGCCTGCTAAGCCTTGGTCACTCAACATCTGAGCTATAATCTAAACTTCTAGTATCCCCCTGAATAAACCCTATAGTAGTGCCCAGTATAGTATAGCTCCCTTCAAGGAGTTTAGACTATACGTCATCTGAAGGCTTGAGGGATGTTGTGAATACAAGGGTAGTATGATTCCTCTAAGCGGGTTCTAGGGAATATATAGGGTTTAGGATTTTGGGCACTTGCATTGCCGAAGCAGAGCAAGGTACAATTCGGGCCTGGATTCAAGGTTGAAGGTTATTTCTCCAAATAGTGGAGTGCCAAATGGAAAAAGAAGATGCTGAGGGTCAGAGGGACGTAGTAATAAGATAGCTTTGGGCTTAAAACCCTAAACCTTAAACCCTTAAACCCTAAACCCGTAAACTAAACCCCTAAACCCTGCACCCTTAAACCCTAAGGCTTAAGGCTTAGGATGTCGGCTGAAGGTTCAAAGTCCTCCTTTCCGGAAGCCTTGAGGTGAAGTAGTCCAAACGAAGCCCCAACATAACCTTAATATAACCCTGGTAAAACCCCAATATAACCCTAATACAATCCTAATATAACCTCAATATAGCCCGAATATAACCCCAATAGGACCCTAATATAATCCTAGTATAACTCCAAAACCCCTAATATAACCCCAATATAACCCTACTAGAAACATATTCACTTATCAAGATCAAGGAATGAGCCTGGCAAGACTTAGACTGATTCAGACCAGACCGCCGCAACTTTTGTGAATATGTTTATGTTAGGGTTATTATATTAGGGTTATATTGAGGTTATATTAGGGTTATATTGGAGGTATATTGGGGTTATATTGGGGTTATATTAGGGTTATATTAGGGTTATATTGGGGTTTTATTAGGACTATATTAGGGTTATGTTGGGGCTATATTTGGGTATGTGATTGCACTACTTCAAAAAACCTAGGCCCACAAGAGTTGGTCTTTCGATTCCGCGTGCAAGCGTACCAGGACATTGACCACTGCAAGGATTCTGGTCTGGGATTTTTTTGTCTATGGGGTTCAGAAAACGGGGTCCTGTTACGGACCTACAGTTTGGTGAATGCAGAGAAATCATAAGAAACACTCTTCAAGGATTCTGCAGAGATTGGAAATTACATGAAAGGGCAAATGCGTGCACCTGCGAAAGGTCTTGAGACGCTTTTTTGGGGCAACCGGCTATGACAAGCTGGCACATGTGTCCAGGGATTTCTGCAGGATGGTTTCCGTAGTTATTTGGGATTCCAGGTTTTTGTGTCTGTATTGAAGCTTGTTCTAGGGCTTCAGGCTTTGAGGTTCAAGGCTAGTCAGAGGAGCTTCCAAACAAGAAAAGCCCTGAACGCTACAGCCTAAGGAGTTTACTTTGGATCCCAGAAGCGGATGGTGACAATGGAAGCAGCATAGAACAAGCAGGACATGCAAATCCAGAAAAACGATCCTTGGCTGGACTTCGAAGAAGGTTTAGGGTGTAGGATTTCAGGGTGTAGGTTTTTAGTTGAATTTGAAATAACTTTAGGGTGAGGGTTTAGGGTTTAAGGGTCTAGGGATTTTCGCGGAATGTGAAGTAGGTTCAGGGTTGGACTTTAGGGTTCAAAGTCGCTTAGTTTAAGGATTATCACTTGAAGGCATGACTCGGCCATGTCATGCTACAGCTCACAGCCTGTCCACTCTCAGATCATATCCTTGGCAAACCTGTCCTTTAGAGACCTGGGTTATATTGGGGTTCTATTGGCATAACGGAAAATAAAATGGAGACGACTATTTAGGGTTTAGGGTTTACGTCTTTTTTGAAATAGGGGGACCGCAATATAGACCCTGGAGTACTTTAAGCCTTATTATAGGGACCCCCAACCAGGTACCCCCAATCTTAGGAAACCCCCAAATCAATGTGAGACATCCTCATTTCTTGCTCGGGCTCGATCTTGCAGGGCTGACTGATCGTGTGCTGGCTGTGTCAAAAGGCCAGACATGTACAGCACGCCCGCCATTATCAGAAGGCATCCCAGAATTTGTGGTCTTGTCAGCGTCTCACCGCTGTAGATGTAAAAGAAGAGCCCAACAAGAGGTACCTGTAGTCCCCTTAGACCTATAATAAAAAAACACATTTGCAATAATTCCTTTGGGTTACACTAAAAACTTAACCAATAATTCCAAAAAAATCACCCACAATTACTAAGGAGACTACAGGTACATTTGCAACCACCACAGATTGATGGGGTCCCGAGTTCACCTCATCGAAAGAGAAGCTCAAGCAGCCACAGGTCTGAGCCAAAGCCTGGTTGCCTTTAAAGAAGGTAGATTAAGTTAATATGGGTATATAGGGTTTTACGGAAATTTTGATTAAGTTCAATATGGGTATTTAGGGATCAAATCAGAATCAAATCTTGAGTTTTGAGTAACAAAAAGATGGTTATGTAGTACATAACAGGGTTTCCTTGTTATCACAACTTAAGTTAACCTCCTTAACAGCAACCCGGAAGCAATAAAGGCGCCACTCAGAAGAAAGAGAGACAGTCTCAGAGCCGAAGCCTTCTCAGTGCAGTGCTTGGCTTCACTCCTGGACGTAAGCATTTTCTGACAGAAATAATAGTATTCATATTAATAAGGGTAACAATAGTACTAGCAGTAAAATAGCCATAGTGACACGATCAATAGCAAGATTCAGTAGTAGTAATAATATTACTATTCATAATACTCTTGGAATATAATCTTACAGGCTGCATAATGTTTCAGAAGCCGCGATCTTATTTCCGCGGGGACGGTTTTGCAACAACTTCGCTACAACCCCTTCAAGTGATATCGCTCTTGCCACATCCTCTAGGGCAACGTAGCTTTGTCTTTGAATAATTTTGGCCACATAAACCAACTCCAACGTCACAAACTGTAACTAAGTACATATTCTGCTTCCCCGTCCTGAAGCTCTCGCAGAAAGTAGCTAGCAGCAAGCATCCCAGCAGGCTAAGGATGCCAACCATAAGAAGCATTGCCTCGGCTGCTGTTAAGGAACTTAAACTAAGTTACCATAATGGGTATACATAGAATATGGTTTCCCCGATATAATGACTTAAATTACGGTCCTTAACAGCAGCCCAGTTGCCGACATGTACTCCACCGGGCTGAACATGTCTCCAGCATAGGCAACAAAGAAGTTGTCAAAGCCGAAGAATACCTTATCAAGTTGGGCCACTCCCCCTACAGTAATAAGCTACCACAACAGGTCATAAGAGCTATAATCGCCCAGTACCTTTACAAGGGCAGTTACCGTAAGGGGCATGACAGTGCTGGCAAGTTAGGCTGTCCTTTGTCTTCGGCCCCAAAGGGATCTAAAAATTAGATCCCCTAGAACCATATGGGAAATTGTGTAAAGGTTATATATGGGTTTTAGTGGGTCTACTTAGAGGATCTAATTTTTAGATCCTCCCAGAATTTTGGGTTGAGCCCCAGTAATGGAAGCTACAGGAGCTGTTCTCAAAAACCTGGATCCTTTTGAAGTGAAGCGGTAGACTGCACCGAATATCTTGGAGTGCAACCAAAAGGGACAGGAATCTGAGTTCTGAAGCTGCCCAAACAGGTAGTTGAAGGGTCTCTAGCTCATTTCAGTCCCCTATATAATTCCCAGATAAATCTCCATTTTAGAAGTCTAGATCCTAAACCCTATTTAAACCCCTATCAGGAGCCTTTCAACAAGCCCTAGAGTGGGATCTCTACATAACACCCTTTAAGAAGTTTAAACCCTTAGCCCTCAAGCCCAAACTTTATATATAATCCCCTATGTAACCCCCATTTAAGGAGTGCAGACTAATGCTCCATACCCTATACAATCCCCTATATTACCTGTATAACACCCCTTCTGAGGAGTTTAGACCCTAACCCCTAAACCCTGTAGAACCACCCCTCTAAGGAGTTTAGACTCAGTATCCTGCTTGATAAGGCCTACAACCGGATCCCTATGTAACCCCCAGCTCAAATGAGCTATATCTAAACTCCTAGTATCCCCTGAACAACCCCTATTAGTAGTCCCCTATATATTCCCCTCCAAGGAGTGTGCTCAACATGACCGCTATTCCATAGCGAAGAGCCGAGGCTAAGCTGGCCAAAGCCACCCAGCCTCGCTTGTCGGGTGGCCTTCCTTGGAGGATTTTGGGGGTTATATTGGGATAATGGAAAACACAGTGGAAACTATTTTAATAGGGTTATATAGGGTTTAAGGGTTAGGGGTTCAGGGTTTTAGGGTCCAGAATTCAGGGTCAGGGTTTGGGAGTTTAGGGGCAAGGCTAAGGGTTTAAGATTTAAAGTTTAGGATTCAGGATTTCACAAAGATAGAAGTCTACATGGGGGTCTCCTAAAATCAGGGGTACCATTTAAAGGGCCCTTATAATAGGGTCTAGATGTGGGTCCCCCTATTTAGGGAGACTACCACATGAGCCTTGAGAAGGATCCTCAGAATACATTTGTGATCCCATGCAACTCCGATTGTAAGAAGCACACTAAACGTTGTCCTTGGATAACCAGGGCCCAAACACGACCAATAGCAACAGCCAGGACGATCCTGATACCACAACTGCGAAACCCTGCAATCTTTGCAATAGTTGTAGATGCATTTCCTGGTTAGCAGATCTGGACGGACCAGCAAAGCAAGAAAAGGCTACTTGGCTGTCGGGTGTTCGCAGCTCGGCGATCAGCAAACAAACTGCCAGCAGCAACCAGAAAGCGGCGAACACAAGCAGCATGTTTGTAGTATGTCAGAGCAATGCCATTATATGTGTTTGCCGTTCTCGTTCACCGCTTTGCCTGTCTTTACAACTTGAGACTTGGGTCATGCGCTGCCTATAAGGCTTACTAAGCTAGCTGAGCTGTGGCAGTAGTCACTAGTGTCTTCCAAGCACATGACGGAATCTGCACCTGCTAGATGCCAAAGCTGCGAGTTCACGATGCTGGTCAAATGAGCAGCATGCAAACACTTGGCAGGAGTGCAGATTTCAACGGCAGGGCGGTCATCCCCCACGTCACGGAAGATGGAGCTACTACATGGACTTCCTGGACAGGACTGCTGCTCAGAACATGGACCTACTTGCTGGAGTTGTGCATGGTTATTCAAGCTTTTTCTACCGCATAGGATCCAGCAATAGACCTTCCAAAAGATTTTCATCATCACCCCCCTACGGAATTCATCCTGTTGAGCAGCTCGTTATTTTGATTTGCACGAGTTTAGGCCGCGCCGCGGCAAAATTGAAGTCGACTGTACATATATATATATATATAATGTATATATGTAGACATATTCCATTTGCAACGGGTACCACCCAAAAAAATCCAAAAAAGTTGTGCTGTAGCCCTAGAGACGAAACTGCAGCCCTTTGCTTAGCATCGAGGGCTAAGGCGCTACATGCTACGCCCTGCACCTCTGGCCTTTGGCTAGCTAGGAATCAAGGAATGGAGGCTTATGGTAGTCCCTACATAACCCATTATAACAGTTTCCATTTTCTTTTCCATTCCTACCCAAAACCCAAAACCCTATAGCACCCCATTATAATAGTTTCAATTTTTTCTCTTCCGTTATACACCTGTGCAAGCTGGCCTTTGTGAGATCTGGACTCTCGGGCCTGTCGGGCCTGCGAGAATTGAGACACGCATCGCGCAGAAGGCGTGACAACTTCCGCTTTGTGTTGAGCTTTTTTGGGATGTCCGGGATGGGTTTGAAATGGGGTTAGCAAGGAGGCCGCACTCTTTTCGAGACCAGTCTCTAAGCAGTTGGGAAGGTACCACCAGATTCTAAAGGCCAAGTAGTTGTCTTTCCACATGCCACTGGTTCCCCAATCCAATCCAATCCACTGTGTGTCAGCTAGTTCCGAATGAAGAAAAAGTGGTAGTGCGTCTCACTCAACAACCAGTAGCGCGACCAGACCTCCAACAAAGCGTGCCTTGTTGCACCCCTCTTTGGCCGGCCGACAGGGCACGCCTGCCACCAAGGAAGCAAAGCCCCAAGTTCAACGGAATGCGCTTTCGGCCCGCATAACAGGACAGAGCGTTTCTTGGATCGGTAGAAATTTCTGCGCCCAAGATGCCGAAAAACAATTATCCAGTTCGGCAACAGCAAATGCCATGGGAGGGAAGTGAGGGTTTGGGCGGAGGCCCAAACCCGCAACCCTAAACCCGAAGGACTATCACGCCATCCTCGGTATTGAGAAACCCACAAAAACTCAAGGATCGCAGAACGCGCATTCTGTGGATGTCACCTCACAAAGCTCTTTATGGCGTTCAAGCAGCCAGCCCCAAACCACCCACAGAAATCTGGCAGCTGCACTGCGCTGGAAGGAAGGCTTCCTGTCTTCTGGCGAGGACTCTCTTGCCTGCACTGTTGCAATAGATTTTTGACACTTTCATGGCCGAAGCAGCGCAAGGCACAATCCGCAGTAGATGTTAGGACTTGGGGTGTACGGGTTTCAAGTCTGGGGCGCAAGGTTGCGGGCTTCCTTCGCCACAACATTATCTGAGAAAGTCACTCGTCTTGCTCATGAACCCAGCTCGGGAAGAAGGTCTCACTGTGCAACATCTTGCAACACTTCAAGAGTCCGCGCGGGAGAAGCCAGAACCTCCAAAAGGATGCAAAACGATGTGATTTCGAACTACCGTGGCAGCTACATTGCTGACCGTAACCGATTTTATCATAGCTACTTCGTGCAGTCCATGCTATTAAATACGTATAAAAAACCTCTCCGTATTTGTAATCGAGAGTTTTGCCATAATCCATTCATTCTCCCATTCTGTACTGGTCCCCTACCCCAATACTCAAGCCCGTTCAAAGTGGTAACGTAAACTCACCCAACAAAGTACCCCTGATCTTCAATCTACTGGTAGGGCGGAGAAAGGGGGGCATGATTTTCTGAGGAGGAGTGGAGTAGGTGCCCAGGAAAGAAACAGATGCGGGTGGCGCCGAGCCTTGCAACCTTTGGCACGGCCGAAGGTGCCTGTTTGCAGTTGGCAAAGGTCCCCCAAGATCTCCAAGAATGGAAGGTTTACGGCAATAAGCGGTTTTGTAGATCTGAAGCTGCTTCAAGAAGAACTCATATGAGACCAAGGTGCGAAACAGTTTGATCTGTTTCGATAAGCCTTATCATACCTGGCCTTCGGCATTGTCAGCGAAGCAGGAGTCCTGATGTGGCAACAAAATTTTATTTACTATATACCCTTCTCATGCATTGCTGGTAACCTAAATTAAGTTCCTTAATAGTCACGATGCGCCCTTGCTTCTTTCCCAAGCCTAGCCTGGAGGTCCTTGCCCTCTTGCTAGGCTGCAAGAAGTGGTACATGACAGTACACGTATAGTAATGGGAAAGCCAAGACCTGTAAGCCTGCATGCTGTCTTTTTCTGGATTCTTAAGCCATTGCAGTGCCTGATGGTGCAGAGCTACGGGCCTTCCAAGGCTTACCTCGGCCTTTGCTTTTGCTGTTGGGTTTGCCTTTGCCACGGCCAATGGAACCCTCAGTGAGACTGGCACCAGATCCCACGCTCCCGATGCGTTCACTCGAAAAGGTGATAGAATCTTCGTCGTTCGCAGCGCGTGAGGGTCGCAACCTGGCACGCCCTGCTAGGAGGTCCAGAGCACCTTGCACTGGTTGCGAATGTCTATGCCTTTGTCCACGAGCGCGATGCAAGGTGGCGTTGAAGTGGTCGGAGCTCCTGCTTCGGCCAAGAAAACAAACAACTGGAGCATTGCAATTATGGCTACAAGATTGTCACGATGCAATTTGCAGCCAGACTTAGGTATCCAAGTCTCCCTTTGAAGAGTGGAACTCCGCGATGCGTGGAATGGGCAGCATGCCCAGCGTGTGGTCTGATGGACAGACCGCTGGTACCATCATAGCTCTTCTGCCACTCTTTGCTCCACGCACGATCGTCTGGGGAACACACCTGAACAAGTCGGAACTGAAGTCACCATAAAGTAATGTAAAGTACCTTTTGCAATTGGACTGTGAATTTTGCCGGGCGATGTACTTGCATAAAATACCCCCCAGATCCACCCTTCTCGCCTTGCACTTCTGTATCCACGTATATGCATATACATATCCCCCGAAGCAATCCGTAAATCCCTAGTCCCTCAGCTATTTTGTGCATCTGGATTGCAGCGACTCACCCCTCAGCCTTCTCGCTCTCACACATTTGCACGCCTCGGCCCTCAAGCACGAAACCTTGTAAAACCCGACATGTCCCTGGAACCCGTATACATCTCTTTGTTCCCATATCTTTGGACCAGACCCACCAGAACATGGACCATCAGCAACTCTTCGCGGCGAAGAGCTTGGTACATTAGGAAGGCAGTGAGTCTGCGATTCCGGCGGGAATACAAGCCCAAATGGTTGTCAGGGCTTTTATACAGGAACACCGGAAGGGGGTCTTCCTTAGTAACGTCCAAAGGTGTCAAATTCCCGCGGAAGAGCTGCTCGAACAGCTTGAAAATCGACTCATCTGCGTGCTCGTGGTTGTCCCCGAACGCAAGTTGGGCGTTGATGCCGCGGTGAGTCCAACGCAAGGCTTGGACAGGAACCTTGGCGTTGCATGGTGTGACAGGAATTTCGGGGCAGCTTTCTTTACGATTGTATTTTCGAGTCACGTATGAAAGCGGTGTAGAACTTGGTACCAAGATCGCTGCAGGGACAATGACCTCTGCACCGATTACCAGGTTGTGAAGCTTGTTTTCGAGAAAGGAACTCAACTCTGCGGCTTTTGGAAGAAGTTGACACAAAGAAAACAGAGTTGCTGAAGGTTCACCAACATCATGCTGATCTGCTGCAGAATTCTCCATTTCTTGCTGTTGTTTCGGATGTTGGGCAGGCAACTCATCAACTGGGACGGAGGGCATCAACATTGGTCTCAAGCCGCAGCCAGTGTGATGTTTGGACATGCAATCGCTGCCACAGCAAGTGCTTTTGTGAGAGAAATTCAGGTGACTCTGGGCAAGCAAGCCAACATAAGATGGAGGTGGATCCAGGTGAGAAACAACTTGAGGGTGCAGCTAGTCAGAGGCAGACAGATGACAATGAGATACCCCGCCACTCTTACATTGACAGGCACAGCAAGATCTTGTCGCCTTTGCCATTGCCTCTTCCTCTGTCGCTGCAACGATCGCAATCGCAAAATGAAGTGTTGCATTGGTCACAAAGCAAGATCTTGTCGCCTTTGCCATCGCCCTTTCCTTTGCTGCTGCAACGATCGCAAATGGAAATGTCGCATCGGTCACAAAGCAAGATCTTGTCACCTTTGCCATCGCCCTTTCCTGTGCTGCTGCAACGATCGCAAATGGAAATGTCGCATCGGTCACAAAGCAAGATCTTGTCACCTTTGCCATCGCCCTTTCCTTTTCTGCTGCAACGATCGCAAATGGAAATGTCGCATTGGTCACAATTCAAGAGACCCTTCCCTTTGTCGTTGTAACGATTGCAAGTAGAGCAACGGCAACGCTCACAAGCAAACACCTGGCCCTTTCCTCTGTCGCTGCAGCGATCGCAAATGGAAGTGTTGCATCGGTCACAAAGCAAGATCTTGTCACCTTTGCTATCGCCTTTTCCTTTGCTGCTGCAACGATCGC